CTGATCGTAGAAGGCAATCAGGTTGGTCTGACATGATCTCCCCCTAATAAATCCATGCTGATTGCCCCTGAGCATCATTTCTGATGCCGGCCCATCACAAATGTGCTCCTTGATGATCTTCTCAAAGAGTTTCCCCAGGATTGTTTGTTATCACTGGTCTAAGAAACCTACTCAGAAGGACGTGTCTCATGACAAGGGCCCGTTATCTGCCCCTTTCCTGCAGGAGCAGTTCTGCCCCTTAGCTCACTTCCAACCTTGCAACCCAACACGCCTCCTGCCCACTAGACCTTCCCGGGAGCAAAAAACGCCTGTTTTTAGAAATAAAGCACGTGGGTTCTGTCCATGCGGATCCTCTGCCCCCCGGTCATCGTTTGTCTCCCATTGCCACCACTGTTTGTAACCTCTCCACTGCACGGCCCTTTCTTTTTCTGTTTCTCTCTCTCTCTCCACTTGGAAGTAAAATAATTTCCATCTGTATTCTGTCTTCCTTCAAGCCTAGGTCCCAAACCATGTGTTTCCTCTCTGTGGCCTGGGAACCTGGTAGATTCTGTCATGAGAACAAGATGTTTGCATGACATTCACTTTCCTTTCAACTTGAAATGGGCTATGGCAGCGCAGCTTGCTGCTGTTTGTTAACACTGGCTCGTATTAAACAGAATTGGACTGATGTGTGAAACCCCACGTGCAGTCTGTAGCGTTAGATAAAAAATAGCTTGGATTCTTTCTTATTCTCTTGCTTTGTTTTTTTCTTCCTGCCTTCGCTTCTCTTCTTGAATACTTTCTAGGTAACAAATTGTACTGTTGCATTTTGTGTTTCCCCCTTGTCTGATGACCTGAAAGCCCCCCTGTTTCTTTTTCCCCCCCTTCCCATCTCTGCTCAGAGGAGGAGTTCTGGAGCCAGAAGGGACAGTAGAAATCAAATTCCGCAAGAAAGATTTGGTGAAGACAATGAGGCGAGTGGACCCGATCTACATTCGGCTGGCAGAGCGGCTAGGTATGTCTGGTCTGTGGTGCTGGCAGATCAATGATCCGTTCAGCTAATATCTAATGAATGTGTTTATGGACCTTAAAGAGGGGGCACTGAGGCATTTTATCAAATTCATGATAATTTTTATTTACTGTCATCCAGCTCTGGAGGAAAAGCAGATGAGACAAGCTTTGTGTGTGTAATGATATTCCCTATATTCATGTACATCGACAGCATACAGTGTGCGGGTAATACCGTCATCTTAAACCAATTAATTTTTCCTTTGAAGAATACTGCAAACAATTATTAAAGCTTCTGCACACAGAAATCTCTTCTCCACAAGGGCTCAGCTCACTGAAAAGGCAGTGAGCCAGATCCTCCCTCAGCTGATGTAAGTGGGCATAGCTGAGAATCTGGATACTGTATGTTTGTGGCTTCTGAGCAGAGCCCAGTATGCTAGGCAGCTCTGAACTCCGGTAATTATCTCTGCCTGCTTACAGCTCCTCAGCAGCCTCAACAAGATAAAGTATTCTCCACTTCCTCGACTAAAACACTGTGTGACTTGGCTGCACTCTGTGACCAGCATCTCAAATATATACATTATATTATTGTAGTGCCTTTCATTCCAGAAGATCCCCGAGCATGTAACAAACCTGATAAACTGAAATACAGACTATGCAGCAGTATCCATTTAATATCTGATACATACTCTCTCAGGGGACCAGACTCTTTGTATAGTTCTTCGCCATCTCTTCTTTCTACAGTGTAATCTTAAAGAGCCTCTTTTCCCCCCAGCATTGATTTCCTTGTAGTAGTACAGAAAGTGTACCACGGGTGTGTGGCTTAAACTTATACTGCCTTTTGGGCTACTGTAGGTTGAAAGGTGCTATGTCAATGTGTGATCGTGTTGCTATCTATGGCTGCTGTTACATCTTCATTTATAGCAGTACAACAATTTACATTAGTTATTTGCACACCATGCTCACCTTTAGCCCCAAAATAATCAAAAATTGCAGTGTGGGTCCTAAATGAGGAAGCAAATTTTGAGCAGTTTGGTTAAATGGACAATATCTTTTTCTTCTCCATTCTGCCTTCCCAAAGCAAAGTGAGTGTCTTATTTGGGAGCATGGGGTAGGCAGATAAGTACAGTATATACCAAACAGCCAATCTGATACGACTTTGAAAGAGACTAATAATTGTAAAGGACACAGTCAAGGTTAAAACCATACTATCAGTCTCCAGTTAGATGTTTCTTACCCACGTTCTAGATGACATGGGGCCTTTTTGCAAAACTGGAGAAGCTTTAAGGTCTCATCCAATGTTAGCTCACTGTGCTGTTTATCTTCTGTACTTCTTTCTGCTTGGAGAGTGAAAGCAGATGAGCTGCGTCCTGCCTTCACAGCATTAGCACAGTATGGTAATGTGTTTGGGTTCAGCTCTCATTAGCGTCCTTCAGGTGATTGGGTATGAAGGAGAGACGGCGCCACAGAAGCATCTGGACCGATTGCAGGGGAGTATTGGTACCATGAACCTGTCTCTGTTGGTGTTACTCTGTCGTTGTGATGTTGGATGAAAAGTTTATATTCACAAACTCTGACTTTGGAGCTGTGCTTAACCTGACAGAGTCCCCATATAGATGGCCCCTGCTGCAGCGGACGGGGGGAGGCCAGCATAGCCTCTGCGAGTGGGCACTTGTGGGGTTTTACACTCCACACTTGGAAGGCTGCTGTTTAGTCCTGAACCCAGGCAGGACTCATAGCTCCTGGGGGTGATTTTCTGGAACTACGGCTCCAGCGTGAGAGGCTCCAGAGGAAGGAGAAGAGAGATGTGTGGCTGGAGAAGGGCAAGCACTGAGCAGCCAGCACATGGGCCTGTAGATCAATGGCAGCAGAAGGTTTTCAAAACATTTGCCACAGCATCATCGGGAATGAATCAGCCCCTCTTCAGTCAACACCTCCCTTGGGATGTGGTGTCTTTGACACTGGGAGGGTCATCCATTCTCAAGACAGCAGTCTCAGATAAAGAGGGTTGTTTGTGTGTGTTCATCCTGTAGCACTGGGGAAAGTAGCAGATGCCACAGGATTGCTTGCCTTTGCAACTCCAGTTATGTGGCATCTGCATGAGGATGAGTTGCGCTTAACACCTTCCTTCCACCCGTTGCTGTTAAAAGGGAGCCCCGAATCACCCGTCCTGCTACCCTGCATCATCTTCTGTTTTCATTTATTTTTTTAAATAAAAGGACAGACCATTTTCTATGGTCTCTCCAAAGTCCAGGTCCTTGCTATGTGTGTGGGGAGGGTTGTTCTTTTCCCCCCTCTTGCTTTCTCTAAACAGGATAATTACTCCCGGCAAACTCCATACACTTTAATTAAAATGACTGCAACACAAGAGCAAGTCACTTACAACTGTACATGCAGGGAGCTCTAAAAGCTTCAGTCACTGATAAGCATCTCACTTAGATGGCTCATAATTGCTCCCAACATCGGGTGATCATTGCTGTTGTTTTGCTGCTAATGCCATACAATAGCAGGAAAGCCAAGATTGCAGGACACGGTGAATTGCATAATTTTTTTTTTTCTGGTTTTCTTTCTGGCCAATTTAAAATTTGTCAAAGTCGGTCTTCTTCTGGATCACTGCCCTTTGATATTTCGCGCACTCCATTTGCCACAAACAAGCCGCGGGGCCGCAGTTCATGCTGACTCCAGCAGAAGCAGAGAAAGCTCCATTTATCTTACACTGCCTGCTGAATTCTTACTCATTAACTGGGGGTTCACTGCCTCTCTTTAACCCCTGAATGGCTGTCATCATTTCTGCCGAGCGGCTGAATAGTGGGGGAGAGGAAGATCTTCCCATCCATGTACCAAGGGCGTAGGGCTGGGCAAATAGGGTGACACTGTGTTTTCATTTGAGCCATCTTTAGCCACTGGATTTTGACTTGCATGTATAGGGGCGGGGGCAGTGGAAGGTGACAGATATTGAATAATTTGACACAGATCTGCTCATTATCCATTTTCCAGCGCCAAAATCTTTATTAGTTTCATCCTGTATTAAAATGTCACTCAGCGTTGCATTGCGTTAGGCAGCAGCATTGGCTGGAGAGGAGCATGGCAGGAGGGGAGAGGAGTTTTGGCTCTAGAAATGACCAGGCAATTTGCAGAGCATAAGCTGGGCAAAGAGAAATGCATGGGCACTGCAAGCAGGGGCCCTTGGGCTGGTGCACTTTGCAGGACACAGGGGCCGTTTTGAATACTTTGGCTTCAGCCGGCATTAGAACAGAGGGCTTCAGACTGGAGCAAACATGACGGGTGGTCACTTGGTCGTGCAGCGTGTTCTTCATCAGCCTCAGGAAGGTCACAAGTGGGTGTCAGTTTTGTGATGTTCTGGGACCAGATGGCTCATTCCCGTTTGAACAGAAGGCAATAACAGAATGGCTTCAGTGGGAACAGGACCTAACCCTGTACTTCTCAAGTGTGTCTTTAGTCATAGCGTTTATCCCATGGTAGAGGAGAAACATCTTCTCTTGATTCAGAACAGTCGTAGTGTGCGTGTTGGACAGGGATTATCTGTATAGATCTATATAAAATTGTGCCCGTGTGTGGGTCGGCACGAAGTGGTGAGCTAGCTCGCGTGGCCATAATGCATCCAGAGCAACATGCCAGCGTTACACATTTCTTTCCATCTCTCGTTGCCTCTTCCGACTTGGTCTTTGTTTGCTGAGCCCAGTGCCGAGCTTGCCTTCAGTCCCCCACATAATAATTTAAAAAAAGCTAAAATATTTAAGAGCTCCACAGTAGAATAGCAGTAACTGGCTGTATGTTGAGCCACAGCAGTTTATTTCCAGAGGCAACTCTATTCTTTCTTAAATCCCGAACACAGCAAATCAAAGGTGGTGGTTGTGAGCACGCAGCACGAGGCATTTCTGGCTTGATGCCATGCTTCACCTGTGCCAGCTTGCCGTGATCCTCATACCTGGTCCTCAGAGCATTCAGGCCCCTCTCTCTCCAGGGCAGGATGGTGTTTCTAGCCAAGCACATGCAACCTCTGGTGTCATCCTTATACCATACGTTCTACCAGGTATTTAGAGAAGTAATGACACAGCCCCATTTATGCATCCCTCCCATATGCCCAGGCAGTCAAATGGGTCTTAATGGCCTTTGGAGCAGGTTGGAGGTGAGGTGAGATGGCTCCCAGAGCTGCCTCCACAGATGCTGTTGTGTAAGTAGAGACCAAGCTGACAAAGTGTTGCGGGAGCTGAGGCTTTTGGATGGGACAGTTTAAATGCACCTTGGTTGCATGGCTGTGGATTCTGCCATGCTCATCTCCTGAGGAGCAATTTCTCTGGTCTCTCTCAGTTCAGCAGAGCACTTAAGCATAAGTCTCAGTGGGACTGAAGCGCTTTGTTGGACAGGGATGGCCTTGAGAATGGGCTTCAATGCCGTATTGCTCTGAGACGTTGTTCTTCCTCTTTACCTCCACAGTGACCTGTGGACATGCAGCACTCAGGTAGGCCAGCTCGCAAGGTTGTGAGTGCTGCGCCGGAGACGGCAGAGCTGATTTTCGAAGAAAGGAGCCCTGACGTGTTGGGGGTGGTGACCTTGTGTGTAGGTGGGAGAAGAGAGGAGACAGCACCATACTTGCTGCCCAGGACCCCCCCAAGTCTAATGCCAGCTCCTGTGGGGTAGGCAGGTGACTGATACCGTGTTGTACAAGCCACCCTGAAAAATCGTGGGCCTGAGCTGTTTTGCCGGGTAACTGTTCACGTAGGAAACTGGCGGGAATTCAGGAACCAAAGCAAATGTTGTCTCGGGTTTTGCTAAGGCCTGGCTGCTGACAGATGGGCTGGACAGGGCCAGAGCCTGCCTGCCTCTGGGTATCACTCAGCAGCCAGCCGTTCCCCCCAGGCCTCCTGGGATTCATTTAGCTTTGGACAGAAGACGAGCGCTGATGAACTGAAGAGGCTCAGCTTGCCCCTGCGTGGAGGGCTTTGCTGAGCGGAGGCGCCCTTTGGCCTGCTGACGTTGCTGTCACCTGGTAGTGACGGCGCTTGTCTATTTATGATGGTGTCGCGGGCCCAGGTCTCATTTACACCCAAATCACCGTTCCCTGCTCTGGCAACATGAAGTGACGGTGCAGCGAGGTTGCCGGAGACCGGGCCTCTTGCCCGTGGCTCTGCTGGCGTATTGGGAGAGGCGGCGTGAGGCTGGCAGAGGCGCTTCAGCTGCGTGCGGTTGTGCACTGAAGCTGGAGGAGCAGATCCCGCATATTCACAGCTTAGATGCTGTAAACCATCAACTTGATTCAGAAGCTGCTCGGCTTTCTGCAGTCAGAGGGAAGCTAGAATAACATTTCTCCAAGTCATTTTGGCTAACCTGTTAAAGTGGTCATATTTAAAAAAAACAAAAAAAAACACTTTGCTGCTAAATGTTATGGGAAGCCATGATTCATGACCCTGCCAAGCCATTTCTGTCTGGCAGGAACTTTATTAAAGCCAGCCCGAGCCCTGACACTCTTGCAGGTTGTAATCACTGCAGGACACCGCGCCTGTCATGGCTCTCTTCTGCGAGACGTATGCATGGGAGGGAGCAGGCGGCGCACTGGCTTGCTGCTCCAGAAGAGGTTCTTTGCTTAATGGGGCACAAATCAAAATAGTCCCGACGTGGCTTTCCCTGTCACAATCCCTTCCCTTAACTTTTGGAAGGCAGTATAAATTGCTATTCAGTAGCAGGGCGCTTCATGGGATAGGGCTCTCTCTGGATTTATTGCCATGGCTTTTCCATTAGTCTGCACAGGGAGGGCAGCTTCTCTGGTCATGGTGATTGCAGGATATAAAGCACGCACCCAGGATATAAAGCAAGGCAGCGGAGGAAGGCTGGGTCGGTGCCATGCTTCCCCCTTGCGCTCACAGGGGAAAGGACTTGTGTAGTTAGTGGCGGCTGTGCTTGGTGGTTTGTTAGCATTATCCCGTGAAGTCTGAGTCAGGGCTTGCGGTTGCATTGTGCTGAGCATACCAGGAAGAGGGTCCCTCCTTTGAAGACCCGGGTGTTGTCACTGGAGGAGCCTGCTCCAGTGCAGCAAAGCTAGTAAGCCTCAATGTGCTGTTCAGTGCTGTTAGGAAGCAGAGGGAAGAAATGAGGCTAAGGCCTTTGCACGTCCAGCCCACGGCACTGCTGTACGTGGGCCTGCGCAGATGCCACCTTCCCAACCAGTAAAGCAAACTACGTGCTGGAGCCAGAACTGCTGTTCGCAGCTTCGTGGCACTGAACCAAACAGGGTGAACAAATAGTCTCCAGCCCTGGGGGCGGCTAGTGTCCTGCAGCCTCTGCCACCACGCAGGGGTCACAGCCTCCCGTCTAACAATGTTTTTGCTTTTTTAAAATGCTGCGCATCTGACCTTCCTCTGTTGGCTGTGCCTAGTGCATCGTATGAGGGGCTCTTGGAAGGGCATCTTGTCCCAGGAGGTTCATCCTGTATCATCCTCTCCTCCCCTGACCCCTTGGAACCACCTTTAGGGCCTGAGCATAGTGGGGCTTTTGGTTAAAACCTTTACTTCGTTGGCAAGAGTGTTGCTGTGTAGACAAGGGCTTTGTGACCATCACTGCCTGCTCCACCAAGAGCCATTGTGTTCTAAGGGTAGGCATTTAAATACAGCAGTATCATAATGCTGCCGCCTTCGTTTATGCATCTGCTGGGATATATACCTGTGCATGGAAGCATCTTAATGCTCTTAGGACTCCAAAGTTAACTCTGTGATTAAATAGCTGAGATGATCCACTGTTTCTCTGGAGCAAGAGAATCACTTGTCTCTGGGTTTTAATCGCCCTCCTGGCCAGGTTATGGTTCTCCAATGGAGGCTCCTTTCTCTAGGAAATAAATAAATAAACCCCAGGCTTGCTGCAAAACCCCGAGGCCTCGAGATCTGGCTCGAAAAGAAAGAAAACCATTCCAAGATATTTAATTGTACAGGGAGCTTACAGGATTGATCGAGAGCTTAGCTTTTTACAATAGTCCAGTGAATAAGAAATGCTTCTGACAAACGATCAATGATAGGATAATCACTCTTTATCCCCCCCCCCCCCCCCTCTTTATTCTTTTTTTTTTTCTTGCGGGGGG